TATATTTACTGAGAATAATGGTGATGTGTTCAATACTTGTTTTACACGCTGTATAACAGAAAATCATAAAGGAGATATAACAGAAAATATAAATTATAAAGGAGATATAACAGAAAGTACACAGCAGCAGGTGAGTTTGTTTTATTGATTTATACACAAACAAGAAACTGAACTGCTTCATGTTCAAACTTTCAGTCTCAACATGTTTAAAACGTGTGCACTCTGGTGGTTGCCGTGGTAACGGGGTGTTTTTAATGGCGAGCTGTAACAGATCCTCAGACTCTTTGTGTGACTGTCAGTCAGGTGATTTACAGGTTAGACTCCATCCGCCTCCGCCTTGTTTATGACCTCCACTGAAATCAACAACCTTTAAGATCGACAAGCTTTTAGAAAATGAGCAGAAGAAGCATTATTCATTTGAAGGAACCTGCAGTTTGGTGTTTTTAATTTTTAATGTAATTATTTGACAATTGTGTAACTTTCTTCTTTCAGTGGCAAAGGAAGACGAACTGTGATCAGCTGATCAGAGAAGACAGTCGTCAGGAATTAGCTGAAGATGATTTTTTAACTTTTTGTTTTCATGTAGTCCTGAATATAAAAACACTTTTAGATTGAATTTATTGACATTTATTCTAAATGTAGTTGTTTAGTTTTGGTTACAAAGCAAATGTTTTAGATAATTAAGATTAGTTTTCTCTTTATGGATTATAAACTGTAGTTAAACTTTTCTTATTTTAACACGTTATATTTTTTTATCATTTGTCTTTTTTTCTTTTAAGCAGCAGATACAGTGAAATCAGGCTTTTATTTTGGAAAGATTTAACCATAGCAACAGTACTTTCACATTAAGAGTTCAGTTAAAGAACACAATGTTCATTCTTTCATCATTAAGTCAGTGTTTATTTGTTATTCGTAATAAAAATCTGTAGATTTGTTCTCAGATCAGTTTATTAAACTAATATTTAACATCTTTACTCTTTCTGGAAACTGAAATAAGTTGTTCTGTTTTCCTCTGAATAAAACATCTTTTCTTTGAGAAGTTTGTTCTAGAAAACTTAAATAAATAATGAGTGAATCATGGTTCTGTAAAAATATTTTATTTTGTTAAACTGAATTTGGTAGAAAACATCAGATTTTATTGGTTCACTCTCCCACGACCTCTGTCTGACCTTTGACCTCCATAGTTTCAGACATCACCATGACAACCTGATAAAAGCATTAGAAAATGTTAGTGTTTTACTAGTTCACTCCAACGCTGCAGCTATTGATTATCATCTTCTGATCATTTTATTTTAGAAAACAAACAAGATATTCCTGCGGATTATTTTCCTCAGTTAGTAACTTTTCATAAACAGTCGGTATTATATATCACTGCTGATGTAACCTTAAATGTTTAAAGGTTGCATTCACATCAATTTGTTCTCTTCAAATGAAAACATGTTGCTGTTTGTGGTAACACAAACATCTCTAGTAACAACGATTATTTTTCACATTAAGACAATCTTTTCATTCATGTGACCTGTTTTTTTGATCACATGATGTTTGTAAACCAATGAATACTCAGAAAAAGACCCATGTAACCAACAATCATCAGAAGAAAATCTGATTTATTTTACTTTTACAAAAACAAAGACGACAAAAAACTACAAAAACTTCAAACTTCCTGCTGCTGATTGGCCAAGCTGCTCTATGACGTCATCATACGAGGAGCAATGCTCATCGACATCAACTCCTGGAAGAGGAGCTTACAGGCGTACGGCATGCGGACCAGAGAGATCTGATGGACAGACAGACAGACAGACAGGAGTGTGTGAGACAGTGTTTAACTGAATGAGATCAATACTCATCCAAAACTAATACAGAATCAATACCAAGATCAACTAGAATATTTGGATTTCATCAAGAAAATGTGTGATTGCTGCTGCTCGCAAGCACAACTTCAGTCTAAAGTCTCAGATACCACCCAACATCTGTCCAAAGCATGGACCTCTGCCTCATATCTATAGCACTGACCTCTGTAACTTAGTACTATTGTCAAAAGGACTGAGAGACAGTCTGGTCAAATTATTGGCCTTCACTAAAACATATGAAATAAAGTTAATAATTATATAATTGTTACTATATTATTCAAATAGACAGTACTGACTTCTGCCCTGTGCTCTGTAACTAAGTATTATTGTGGAGCTACTGTCAGTAGAATTGTATGAAATGTTACACACATGTAATTTAATTTTATGTACATCTGCAGACATGGTCACTAATTATAGAATTAAACAATTATACACAATATAGTTGTTCAAATTGCTTGTCCAACAATTTACTATATTGATCCTCACATCACTGATCAATAACCTTAAATTGATTATGGATCGCGTTACCTGTATCTTATTGTGATTAGTTATTGATCCTGTTTACCTGTGTCTTGTTGCGGCAGCCTCGGCACTCGTACGTGTGCGTCCGTGTGTTGGCGATGGCCATCAGTCCACACAGGTTACATACGTGAACTTGATATGGGTCAGATGCCTCGAACAGACGCTCTCTGAGGAACTGCGCCGCTCCGTGAGCGATCTGACAGTCACGCTCCATCTCCCCGAACCGCAGACCACCATCACTGAGCAACAGACAGGTGAGTCAGTCAGGTAACACAGACAGGTAACACAGACAGGTAGACGGGCGTCTCACTCACCGTGATCGTCCCTCCATTGGCTGCCTGTTGAGGATCTGGACGGGGCCCCGGGCCCTCGAGTGGATCTTATCGTCCACCATGTGCTTCAGACGCTGATAGTAAGTCGGACCGATGAAGATCTGAGACGTCAGCTTCCTCCCCGTAAACCCGTTATAGAGAACCTGATGACAAATCAATAATATTGACAACTGTTTTATGAAACATTGGTATTTATCTGATGTATTTATAATCAATAATCGAACAAATTGATTCCCATAAAAGGCGACAGGAAACCTGTGAGACTGACAAATAAGAATCAATAATATTGATCCATTGGGGACACACAGATGTGTTCAGTTAGAATATCTGACAGCATGCACTGGGAGAGAGGAGGGGCTCAGGTGAAGCATCTGCCATTATCAATCTTATTGATTTTAAATCATGACATCACACACACAGAGTTCATGACAAGTGAAACAGAAAGTAGTGACCTCATTTCCTCTCAGATGGTATCCGTATTCAGACAGCAGGTTTGACACTTTCTGCACGTTGACGGCGTCATTAAATGGTGTGGCGTCACCAATCTCTCCTTTGTTTGCAGAAACCTGAAACAAGTAATGTTTAATAGTGTAGTATTTTATTATTATTTATACTTTATAATGATTGGTTATTACTGATACATAAGTATTGATTACTACCTTGCCCTGCAGACACTCGATCAAATGGCCGACTGTCATTCTGGATGGGATGGCGTGAGGGTTGATGATGATGTCAGGTGTAATTCCCTCGCATGTGAACGGCATGTCCTTCAACACAGAGACGATCAATAAGATGGATGATCAGTTGGTGACTATTTCTGATTGTAACTGACGACATTCAGAATGAAATAACAGTCTACCTCCCTTCTTCTGACTTCCTGCTTACCTCCTGTCGGTACTGGATCCCGCAGGTTCCTTTCTGTCCGTGTCGACTGGCAAACTTGTCTCCGATTTGAGGAATCCGGACCGAGCGAACCTGCATGAAAGAGGAAGCTCATCAGAAATAAAGACTTGAGCTGTAGGTGTTTTACTGTCAGGTGTCTCAGGTGTGGTGTGGCGTCTTCTCACCCTGATCTTGCAGAACTTGTAGCCCTCCTGGTTCAGGGTCACCATCACCTGGTCCACAATGCCGGTCTCACTGGTCCTCAGAAAGGTGCTGCAGTCTCTCTTGGTGTAGCGTCGGTTGGTGCTGTCCAGCTCGTCGTCGTTCTCCGGCAGCGTCACTGTCTTCCCGATAATCACATCCTCGCCAGAGACACGAACGCCTGGCGCAATGAGCCCATCATCGTCCAGCTTGTCATAAATGGCGTGTCTCATACCTAAGGACGATTTTAAATTGTTCTCAGTCTGATGCATGTTAGCCCTGCCCACCATTGATATCAACACCTGTGACTGGATGCTGTTATCACACCTGAGATGGCTGACAGGTGTGAACTACAACTAAACAGGAAGTCAGATGACAGTCTTTATGGTTCTCACCCTGGCAGGTTTCACGTGTCGGCTTCTCAAAGATCTCCTCCTGATCAAAACCTTTCTTAGACTCCTGCTCTTTGTAGGACCGATAGAAAACCGACCTGCAGGGTGAAAAACAGCTTTATACACAGGAACTAATACTCAGATTACAGCAGCAACTACTACTCAGGTGTAGCAGTAAGTAACTGACCTGAAGAAACCTCGATCCACTGCTGACCTGTTCATGATCACAGAGTCCTCCTGGTTGTATCCAGTGTATGAGGCAATTGCCACAATGGAGTTAATACCTGAAACACAACGTTTCAGTTAGAGAATCACAGAAGAACTCTACCTGACAGTCAGCGAGCAGGTCACCTGAAAGTTTCTGTAACTAGAAAAAATAACACGCTGACCATATTATACACCTGAACACCTGAAGAACATCATGGCTCTTAACCTTTATAACTGAAACTTACTGAATTGATTCTGACTGAACTCTCATCATCTAGTGGGTGTTTTCTGTCCGACCGTACAGATGAGTATTACCTGCAGGGAGCTCTCTGAAGCGCAGGTACTCCATGGATCGGGTTGTGACCAGCGGTTTCTGAGGGTAGTACAACACATGAGCCAGCGTGTCCATTCGCACATGGAAGTTGGTGATGTAGACGCCCATGGCCTGTTTACCCATAGCAGATTGGTATGTGTTCCTGGGAGACTAAACAATGAGAACAGACAGACATTAGAACCACTGATCTCCTGATCCCACATTGATTGGGTTCAGTATTCTCAGAGAACTAATGTTGTAAATTGTACAAGAAACCCTCTTACCTGGTGAATTAAGAGAAAAAACCCCAAAAAATGGGACCAAAGTATCAGAGGATTGTGGCAACATGGGCCTTTCTCTTGTAACACAGGAAGTNNNNCTGTACTAGCTGCTATTAGCTAGCTAGCGGTCCTATTAGCTATCTGTACCCAGACTAGGAGCTAGAAGGACAGGGGGAGTTTAAATACTACTAGCATAGCAGCAGAGGGACCCAGCGGGGAATACTGCCGGGGAGCGGGGCCCGAATGAGCCACAGAACCAGAGCGGGGCCCAAATGTGCTACTAGTTGAAAATCTTTCGTTGGGGGCAGCCTTACAGGCTAGCACTCCGATCCTTAGGCGGTGCATGCTGTTTTTTTCTGTTTCCAGAAAATTCAACCTAAACTATAAAAAAAAAAATTAAATCTGTCTGGGCCTCATAATGTTAATTTCTCTCTGCAATTCAAACATAATGGTAATCCAGCATCGCCGGTCGTCTGTCACTGAGCGGCTCTCATTCTTTGGAGGCAGACGTTCAGCGGTGCAGTTCACACCGAGCCAAATAATGAGTGAATTATCTTATTTCAACCAGTATGACAACAGGAAAAACAGTAACAAGGTGATTCACAGAGGCTCCAACCAGAACTCTGACTGCATGACAGTCAGGTACAGCCGGGAGAGGAGAAGGGTAAAGCGGCTCTCCCTGCTGCAACTACTGGGGCAGTGAGGACTGGTGTATGGACAAATATATCGACAATTAGCGATTGTTGGACTGACGGTGGCCAGTGGGAAAATTCAACCAACCCTATCGGTAATAGTCATCCAGTGTTGAGAGGGATGAATAGATGGACAGAAGATAGATGAGCAGTGCCTCTGGCGGTCAGGAAGAGTTCTTAGAACCATACTTACAGATGTAAATGTTTGTTTGTACCTGGTTGTGGTCGGGGAAGGGAATGATGGAAGCACAGACTCCAAGGATCATGGACGGGTGGATCTCACAGTGCGTGTAGGTGGAGCAATAGGCCACGCCCTTCTCCTGGAGGTCATCAGGGGTCATGGCGAGCATCACCGTTTCCTCCTCCAAAGTGTCGATGTACTCCACCACACCACTCGCCACCAAGTCTTGCCAGCTAACAACCACAAACAAACACACAAAGACAAACTGGAGAAATCAACAGACTCTACAGGAACAACTGACAGTCTACAGAAGACCAGTAAAACCAGTTCACAATAACCTTTTAATAACAGAATTTATTTTAGTGTAAAGAAGTAGATTCTGAAAACATTAATGAACGTTTACAGAACAGATGATCTACAACCTGAGATCGGTCTCAGTTTCTCCACATTCAGTCAGTCTGCTGTCATTACAATGATCACTGTGGATCTGTATGTATTCGTTCACATAGGTTTGGGCAAATTCAAATTTCCCAACCGGCTTTTGTTTGAATCAATTTAAAACTGTATTCCCCGTCTTCAAACTAGTCAAAATAAACTGTTAATTCATGAAAATATTCTAAGTCTCTTCAGCTGGTTTTACTCAGACTCATTTTGGAACCATATAGCATGGATTGAATGACTTTTCTGTAATTTTCACACTTTGAAAAGTCGTCCAGTGGATCTGACCATCAGTCGGGCTGTCAACTGATATACTCTACTTCCTTTAGTTGTCTCACCTGTAGTTGTTGTACTCCCTCTCTTTCAGCTGGTCAATGTGTCGTCTTTTCAGCAGTAGTTTCTGTTTCTCGACAATCAGCAGCGGTCGACAGATTCGTCCAGCGTCTGTGTAGATTCTGATCTCTCGCTCTCTGATGTCTCTGATCATCGACACCTGAAACGTTCAGCAGCAGCAGGAACACTGAGCCACCACTGACTTACATACTCTGTGTGCCCATTGGTTGTGGATACAATGTTAGGACCATTGTAGGCATATTTTACCAGGATTAGCTAAATACTGGACTGGTTGTCAGTGTAGATATGACTAAGGTTAAGGTTAGACGCATAGTTTTCCATTATAAATAATGAATAGGCTCTGGTTACCTCGGACACGATGATGTCCATCTGTCTGCGGAGTTTCCTCAGCGTGTTCATCAGCTGTTCGGGATCTTTGTGGATTCCGACCCAGCAGCCGTTCACAAAGATCTTAGTGGCACTAAAACACAAATAAAACCAAATAAAATATCACATGTAATTTAAATGTTTGATTATTGATTTTCTATGTAACACTGTGCAGTATTCATTCTGGAGGTTTGGTTGATCCTGTTTTTATTATTGTGACAAGAGTGATGCTGCCCTCTGCAGGTCACGTTGAGACATTTATCACTCAAATAAAGACAATGTGAGTCAATCAGTACTCTGCAATGGCAGCAGGTGAGATCTCCTCCAGGTTCTCCATACTCCACTCCTCCAGAAACTCGAGGATGGGGGACGGCTGAGAGCCCACAGAGATGTAGGCCATGAGGGCCAAATTCTTCACCAGACCCACAGCGTGACCCTAAAACACAGCCGCACATAATATAAAACACTCGTCTCTTGAATTAAACTGAATTAAGATTGTCAGATAACTGTATTGTCACACATTTGTGCTGTCCTGTGTGTTTTTACCTCGGGGGTCTCAGCCGGACACACCATTCCCCACAATGTGTTGTGCAGCTGTCTGGGTTTTGCCAGTTTTCCGTCTCTGCCGATGGGAGAGTTGACTCGGCGGAGGTGGGACAAAGTGGAGGCGAAGGTCAGACGGTTCAACACCTTCAGGAAGAACAATAAAAACGGACGAGATTTAGACCTCCGGACATCCAGATCCTCACCAACAGGGACAGACTAAGACCGCCTCACAGCTTTAACTTCTGCAGGCAGCTGTTCTCACCTGTGACACTCCAGCTCGGGCCTGGTGAGCCTTCTTCACATCACCCCAGTTTCCAGTAGCCAGTGAGTACTTCAGGCCATCTGAGATAATTCGGGTCTTGATGGCGAGCTCCAGATTGAAGTCTTTTCCTCTGTCGATGAACTTCTGAGCGTAAATCCGGATCTCCTTCAGCAGGTTCTTGAACATTCTGAAAACAAAAACATTATTAATTCTTAATATTTCTATTGACACATTATAACCTGATTGAACTGAACCGGCAGTAAATGTACTGAAACATTTTAATATGCAGCAGTATATTAAAACATTAATATCTATTAGTGTGTGTGTATTTTCTGGTGGTTAAAGGTCAATGGTCATATGTGATGACAGTGAGTAGAAGAAGTCCCACCCTCTGAACAGGAAAGCCAATAGCGGCCCGGCGAGGTCCAGCCTCTTGTTGCCGTAGTGATCTCTGTCGTCCAACTCTCGTCTGCCGAGAGCGGCCAGCAGCAACCTGTGGACCATGTACCTACAAACACGGTAATACACATCATTACGCAGAAATACACACTGTACTACACATTGCACTGCACAGCAATACAATACAATAATTCAATTCAATTCAATTC